GTTTGACGTATGTGTTTGCATTCGGGTTCGTGGGCTCCATCTTGTTTGTTCTTTTTTGTCCACGTGTTTCTTCACTGTCCAAGTGAACAACAAAACACCACATCTAACCATCCACCCACACTTCTCAGACTTCCCACATCTAAACACCAACCATCGGTCGTTCATCTTGGTCATTATGCACCCCTTTGATCACCGCGCCTCGGCGCCTCCGAAAAGCCCGTCCGGTCTTTCGACCGCCTGGTCTCTCGGTCGTCCGCTTCGTCGGTCGTCCTGGGTCCTGTGGGTCGCCCCGACTTCAAGTCCGCAAACTGCTGCTGGATCGTGGGCTTGGCGGCTCGCAGCTCCTGAAACGAACGGACTCGATGATGCGGCCGAGACGAGGAAAGTCGCAGCCGCGGTTGGTTGGATGAGCGGGCCGTTGGTTGGTGGTTTCAATGGGGCTCCATGGGGCGAGGTTGCTGAAGATTGAGATGAACTGGGCATCTACTCAATGCCTTTGACTGGGTGTTGGGATATGTTGAGATCAACTTCTCTACTAGGAAATCGGTCACACATGGATATGATGATATGATATATGTTTCACATTGTTTCACTAAATGCACCTCGAAAGAGTTGGTGGTAAAGGACAACTCTTCCCATCAGTCCAGTTTCTATGTTCCTTATCTTATCAGGAAGAAAACACGGTGTTGTTCAAAAAGCAAACCTCACAAAGTATATACCTCTCACAGTCCATCATTGAATTCCCAAAGGACAAAGAACCCAACTGTAGATGAGCACACACACGCTGGAACTCTTTCTCAGTGACCAGACATTCAAGCTTCGTCGAACGTCTACACTGGTTGCAGGTTGGGTGCCGAGCTCAACGGAAAACATTTTCTCCCACGAATCTCTATCCCACAGAAGAAATATCCTTGTAGCCTACAGTGTGCCTACAGCTTAAGGGTGCAAAGCTACCAGCCATCTATTTGAAAGGGTGTCGGTCCTTAATCTGCTCACGCATCTTCTTCTCACGTTGCTTCAATCGACGCTGGTCCATCTTCACGTCGATCTTGTCGTAGACCTTTGGAAACTGGTACTCCAAAGCAAGTGCAATCTTGCTTTCTACCCATGTACTACCCAAAACACGAGCTGTATTCTACCCATGTACCCCTAAAATTCCCTAGACCCATCGTTGCAGTGTTTGAGCGGGGCCCCCCTCACGAAAGGCAGTCAGCCAAAGTTCAGTTCATGGAAGAAAGCCTGGACATTGAGCAAAGGTCCTCCCCAAGACGGTATGCAAAGCTGCTTGAACCGATCAACGGACCAGTTTCCGCATGACTTGACTGGTAGTTGCACAAAATCACCTCAGAATATGCAACAACAAAATGGATCAATTATGATCAATTAAAACTGTTCATGGAACTTCCTGCGAGGTCTAGGACTGGGTACTTCTTCCTTCAACGGCGGTTGACTGTGAAACAGTGATCAAGAACGGCAAACAAACCTCCACTTGTTGGTGCAGGACATCGTCAAGGTATATGGCCTTATGTTTCTGGTGGGCCTTTTCACGGATTGAGAGATTGTGGTTTGTAAGACTCTTCTGCAAATATCAAGACCACAAACCAAGGACCAAGGCTGCTCCATACCATTGTGCTTGCTGCCGGTGCTCATGCAGGTGAGGAGACCGTGGTGTCATGAGTCCAAAGTCCAACCTTCAAGTAAGGGCGGCAGGCGGTAAGACAAACTATGCATGTTTTAATATGCAAACTTGAAATATATTTCCGTATATTGATTCCACCTAACTTTTATTTGATGTTGCCTGTTATTGTTTACCCATTCTGATATAAATATATACTGCTACGTATTTACGATTCACAATGTATGACGCATGCTTCCACGTCTCAAATCGGGCCACAACGTCTCATCACTGAGGATCCCCGCCACATCCGCCTCCTTGTCCTCCTCATCGTACTCCGCATTGCTGAAGAGAGACCTGGTTGTGTCGTCCCGATGTTCGTGCTGTGCACCGCGTGGCCCAGAAAGTAATTTCAAACTTCGGTGAAACAAACAAACACTCACATGCAAAACGATCATTGCTGAACGAACCACTATTCTTTGAAGGGTTCGGTTTTGTGGAATTTGTTGCGTTGCGTTTGGGAAAACTTTCCGGTCGTGGTTTCTCTATAGTCGTTCCCCCAGTGGAACTGAAAGGCTAGATATTTGTAGAAAAGTAATTTTCGAGGTGGCCATTTTCCATGACCATCATTACTTCAGGGCATCTAGGGCCTGTCAACGAAAAATGCAAACCAACTGGACCACAAGGCAAAAACAAAAACAACATCTCCGGCCGCAGGGCGAACAAGCAAGAGACAATGCATCATAATCAAAAAAAGGAATCAAGTTTTGTTCGTATGATGCACTTGGGTTGTTCCTTAAGGTGAAACAACACACAACAAGCAGTTGAGCAGAAAACACAAAAGAAGAGTAGGAAAAGTATAGACAGCCAACAAAACATGAATAAAACATCATATAGCCTAGCTTGTATATATAAAATAAAACAACACAAACTCAAGGCTTGAAAAGCAACGAATAAAAAAACAACGACAACAAAAGCCTTAGAAAGCAAAAATAATGAACACAGGGAAACAATACACCACAAGAGGACAAGAAGCAGGAAAGTAAAGACAAGCAGGATAAAAGCAAGGAAGAGCAAGACAAGGGTTAAAACAGGCATTGAACACATCAAGAAAGCAGGAGACATCAGAGGGAAGCAATAAAGGCAAATGAACAGCATGGAAAGCAAAACAAACACAAAAAAACATGCAAAACAAGAAAGGCAGGAGAAACCACAAAGAAGCAATGAAAAGCAAGGAAAGGCAAACAAGCACAAAAAAAACAAAGCAAACAAAAGCACGATAAATCATAGAGAGGCAATGGGAAGCCCGAAAAGAAACAAAAATTGCAGATCCAACAAAAGAATCCGTAAACACAACACAAACACTTCACCCAAAAAAGCCCTTCTTCTTAAAGGGTGTTGTCGACTTGGCACCTCCGTCCAATCCCGACGTCTCTCATGCTCATTCCACAAATGAACCGCGTGCGCATGCTCATCCAGCAAAACATGGTTTGATACAATGAATGATAAAAAGAACAAACACAAACACAAAGCCTTGCTTACTCGATTGACACATGAAACTACAAACTACCATCCACATCAAACCATGATGATTCGCTGACTTCGAACAGCTTTTCCGGGTTCTGTCACAATGTGCACTCATACGGTATACTGTATACTATTTCTTTGACCTTGTATCCCACCCTGCGCAGTCCGGTTCTTTTGCTGATTCTGCGCAGGGATTTCGGCCGCTGCATTCGCAGGCTAGACCCCAAATCCCAGATCCCACAGTGGTCGTGGGATCAACCCTTCCCAATGGGCGGATCGATGGTCGGTGCAGTGTGGGAGATCCACCGCGGCGAGTGGTTCTTGCGGATTGATGGGGCCACAGAAATCAAGGATCCTCTCATACCATACAGGACGGGAGATGCCAACATAAACATGTACAAAAGCAATCGTCCAAACGAACAGGAACAATAATATACAATAAATGTGAAAGCAAAGGAATATGTTTTCCGCGGGATTATATGAGATTAAGTCCATGGTATTTGCTAAAAGGTGTTGGTGATTGTTGGTGGATCATGGTGGATCTATGGGGACTCCGGATTTGTTGCATTACATGATTTATCATAATATGTTGAATCGAACAGTCAAAAACTCGTGAAACCTTGAACACTAAAGCAAGAAAGTCAAGACAAACGAGAAACGGCCCAGGTCCTACTATCTTGATTCATACACTTGTCTAGACTTGTTCACTCTTCTTGTCTTTCTACTTTCAGCTTTCAGGGTGTGTGACTGATCCTAATGGTTCGTTTCAGCGAGCTTAGCAACGTGCAACCAAGCCAATCTAGTTGCCAGCCAATGCAAATGTCCGTGCAAATTGCCCACCTTCCATGGATCCCTATAAGCATACCAATCTTACGCATATCCAGGGTACATCAAGGTGCTGCTGGGATCTATAGAGGGCTGGAGGCGACTGGATGTCCACCATGTTGTGATCTCTGCGATGTTTTTGCTTGATGAGATTGATGAGTCATCCCACAGTAACAAAAGCATCGACACTGTCGACCTGCACCATGTCGCCTCAGATCGGAGAAGGCTGAGACCAAAGAAGGGTCTCTCCAAACATTCCAAACCAAGTGTGTATATACAAGAGCAATAGATTCGTTCATATTCGTTCCCTTTCAAGGATCTGCATCCCAGCCAAGTATTTATCTCTAGCAAAATGTCAGAAAGAGTCCTTAAACAAATCCATTATCCGGTAAAAGAAAAAATCCTTAAAGAATCGTGATATGTCATGAAAAACAGGAAGTAAATCTCCCAGTCGGGTATCTTTCCGGCTATCCATACGGACCGTTCAGGGCAAATGTTGACATGGAACGCACCGTAAGATGCCGTGACTAGGTAGAAAAATCATGTAGTGGACAACACCAAGCACTCATTCAAACACTTAAGAGATTCTAAGAACATGTCAGCAGTCCCCCGAGTGATTTTTTGATTTCTTTGTGTACCGAAGTAGGGTTCGCCCACAGACAAAAAGAACGTGCACATAATGGCACGATATATTTGTTTGTTCAGTTTCTATATTGTGGCCTCATCCGACGAGAAGCAAGGTCCCCATCTTAGCTCCCCGGCATCTCAAACAAGAAAGGTGTCTTCGACACCTCAGCGAGACTGGAATCTCCACCACTGGCGCTTTTCAAATCTCTTCAACGTGGGCCACCCTTGGCCGGCTTGGCCAAGAACCGAAGAAACACCTTGGATGCTTCAAGAACCGGCTTGGGCTTCAAACATGGACATCCGAAGTCCATGCACATCTTCATCATGCGCAAACTTCGAATCTTCCGTTTTTCCCATCATGAACCTTTTCGACACTGGGGCGTCCCGGCCGCTCAACGAATCGCTCCAAGGCAATAACCACCTCAATGGGCGTAAAAACAAACAAGCAGGAAAGGAAGGCTCAAAATATTCTGAAATACCGAAAAGGTCTTGAATTCTCAAGTCTTAAGTTTCAATGAGTTCAAGCTGGGTCTCTTGTAAGATTTAGATGACCCCCACATATTGTCTGACTGCTGCCGGCCACGCACACCCCTGAAGCTGCCCATCCCTATGCAAGCCCATGTTAGCTGGGCCTCACTGGAAAAGCTCTGGCATTTATTTTTATGATTTTTAAGTAATCTGGTGTTGAGACATAAGTCATAAGACTAAGTAAACCTCGGAAGTTCCTTGGACATATATTTAGAGTCTTAGGAAGGTTGCCAGGAATGAGAAGTAGGCGGCAGTAGGCTAAGGCGTGATACGGGTGTTCAATCGATCAGGCAAACCCTGCCCCACTGTTCTTTTTTTCAACATGACATCTTTTAAGGGATCTTGGGGTCTCCATTTTTCGATATCAACCCATCGGCGTACACTACACTAAAAAAATTGGCACAACTCCGATCTCGTGACATTCGTTGAAAGTTGCACCATCCACAATATCTTGGTCCGGTGCTTGCCAGAGGGTCCCCTTGGTATAAAGGCAAGCTGGGCAGCACTGTCGGAAGCGAGGCCTTTGATGCAGTGTCGCCACGCCACTGAACTGATTGATTTGTCTCCAAGTGATGCTGTACTCCACTAACAGTCACTAACACAACAAACATATGGACGACATGCATAATTCACTCATGGAGACCCGTCGAGCATACTATCCTCACTTTCCCTTGCGGTGGTCAAATGCTTTCTTTGTCAATATAGATTATATATACATCATTATACAGTACAGGACATCATGGAACTTTGGTCAAACTTCCGATCATCCGCAAACCCCGCCCAAAGATGTAGGGCCTTGACGATGAAGCCAACGCCGGATTGGTTCATTTGTTTTCCGAAGCAACTTTCCGCCAAAGCACTAATTTTCAATTAAACAAACCAAAAAACCTGGACCTCAAGGACACTGTGCAGCCTCGGATTCTCCTCATATGCCTAACAATGCCTAACCCATCATGAGTCAATTTCCGACATAAGAACCCTAAGAAACATATCACATCACACGCCACAGACCAGCTAAATTGCTCGCCAGGGCACTGATCTTGTGTTTGGTCCAGGATCTGCATGACTATCACACCTCCCAGGTGTCCCTAGCTTTCCCGCTGGTCTGATCCCCCGCTGATGCCGTTTGCATGGTCACACCGTCCGATGCGCCCGTCCAACGCCATCTGTCGGATTCAACCCCTTCCGGGTCTGTCAGCGGAGCTGAGCAGCGCAATACCGAACAAGCAACTGGCCTATATATATCTCTCTCTCTCTCTCAGAGCCTCGCGCTGGTGACATGCTACCGAGGTCCTCCTGAAGTGTGTGGCCGTTTCGCCGCCCAAAAGAGAAGAGACTTATGTTCAGGACACACTTGTGGGGTGTTGCTTGAGGGCGCCTCAACAGACTAACAGTGGTTTCTGGAGTCGAGACCCCAAGAAGTAGGGCCCCTTCGGACCCCACACCCGTTTGGTTTGATTTCTCGTTCTGAAGTCTTTTGGGCCAAAGTGTTTCTTTTGATTGGTTGCTCACTATTTTGGTGCATCTTGGGAGACCGGTTTCACTTGGAACACCTATCAGCTGGCTCTGGATCTTGAAGCTGCAACATGAACTCAACGATCAAAAGAGTCAGTCTATGGCATCAATGATTGTCCACGAAAACAAATGGACAAAAACACAAATAGTTGTAAAGTGTATGTCGAGCTGAATGCTAAATACTGAAATATATTACTGAAAGTTTGATCAATTTTCCAGTGGTGCTTAATCATTGAACCATCTTCTAAACCAAAAAAACTATTGATAAATTCTGACTCACAACAAGGTGCTTTCTGTAACTCGGGCTGTGAGTATCCAATGATGGATCTATTAAGCAGCGCGGAAATCAATGGCATGAACAAGTGGACCCACCAATCCTTGAAGAAACCTGGACAGCAGCTTCCAACCGATCCAAAAAACCAGTGGCATGGCCTACTCCAAGTTGCTTCTGCACGCTTTTTTGACCCCCGTACCGACTGAGCCGGGAACGTCAGAACAAAAAATGTGTCTGTGATTGTTCTGTGCGAATGATGCAGATGATCCAACTACGATGAACTGGTAATGTAAGTCATTCTAAGGCTTAAGGCCTGCAGATGTTTGTAGATGTTCCAAAGACCCTACACACCGGTTTGGATGTGCCGCAGCAGTTGGTAAGGATATACCACAGCACGGCTGGAGTGTTCCACATCCCGATCCTTGGGGATTTCAGAGGCCACCACACGGTGCTCCAGCTGGTGTTGCTTCAGGGCCTGCCAGGCACTTGAAGGGATCCCTGCAAGTACTGTAAAATGCCAATCCATAGACTAATATACTAGGATCATCCAGGATCTACCAGGTGAGGTAAAACCATGAGTAAAGTGAGGCAATGGAATCTCGGGGGAGGCAATGAAGCCAGGCAAAGAACAGCAAATGGACCTGTATCCCCGTTTAAATTCTCATCCGACCATGAGCGCGTCAGCATCTCAAATCCGGCCTGAAAGAACGTGGCATTGTGCTCTGGGCACTTCTGCATCCTCGAAATAGTGGCGGCCACGCAAATATATCTCGGGATCAGTGAAGATTTTTCAGGTCCTATAGTACGTATACACGCGTATACACAGTAGTATAATCTGCTCTACTTATTTCTGTAGAGTGCAACAGGGCTACCATGTCTACCTGTGTTTGAGCAGCCACCAGTGCTGAGGCCTGGACTGATGGGCCAAAAGCACCAGCAAAGCCTGATTCTTCGAAAGGAAATGGCCTCGGAGAAGGCTAAGGTGCACAAACCCAATCTGATTTTGCACCCACCATTTGCCTGGAAGATCCAAACTTCCGAAGGCAGTGAGAAAGAAAAACACAACACAACACTGGTTGGAACTGTTATGAATTCATGTATCTTCCAATCTCTGGCCAAGCCAAACAGAACATACCCAACAAAGGGGTGGTCAAGAAAGGGTTCCTTCATTTCTCCCTTCAAAAACTGGTTGTAAAGGAGACTGAACCCGTTGTGTTGACCAACTCAAGGTTGGGCAACGCATGGATGATGATGATGATGATGATGATGCTGATGGTGATGGTGATGGTGCTGATGGTGATGGTGATGGTTATGATGGTGGTGATGATGATGATGATGGTGGTTGCGGCAGCGGGGGTGGTGATGGTGCTTTGGACAGCGACGTAAATGGTAGTGACGGTGACGCGGATGGGCTCCAAAGCTCTCTCTCCCTCTCTCTCTCTCTCCATAGATTTGGTGCTGCACAAGTCATTTGGTGCAGACGAGTTCTACTGGACTGACTACCAGGGCTTCATCTAACACCTCATACTCCATACCCTTCTGAAGACTAGCAACTCATCTACCCGTTCAAGGAAGAACACCTGCGGGTTTCCCTCAACAAACGGAAGGTACCACGTACCCAATACCTAAGCTCTGTCCAGCTTGCGAGCAGAATCATCTGTCACGTGAAACACACGTGCAGCTACTGAATATATATCTATGCCTGATGACACGCCCACCTAGCATTCAATTCAAGTCTCCCATGACATGACATGCTTCAATTGTTTGGACATGACCTGCCACCCTCTCACTTTGTCCCGTCAAGAGAGATGTACATGAAGAAATCATGCAAGCACTCGACTCACACATACACACACTTATGGATATGCGTACGGAACTGATAGCGGTGCCACACGCCGGCCTAGGGTTCCATTTCCTAAGAGAACCAGTAAGGACCATCGGAGCCTGGGGGTCTGTAAGAGGAAGTGAGGCCAAAAGCGCAAGGTCGAAGGCGACGAACAGGTCGAAATGACGACGATCGCTCATGTCTGCAGCAAGTGAAGTTCTAGGCTTAGCCTCATGCCATTCGGAAAAAGGAAAATTGCAGGTACGTCGGTGAGCGTCCCCACCGATATCAGTGTTCAATGCAAGCCTCTTCGTTGGGCTGGTACTTGCATGAACAACCAGGCCCCTGCTGAAAAAAAGAAAAACACAATCCGAAAGGATCCCTGTGACTACAAGGGGCACACACACACGCCTCCCCGAGGGGAGGCGTATCGCAAGTGCGGACAAAGTAGTAGGCAAGGCCAGGAACCCCTAGTAGCGTCAAAGTAGCGTCCTAGCACCTCGTTCGAAGGCCAGGAGCCCCTAGTAGCAACCCAAGCTAAGGTCCCGACAGGAGGGAGGGGTAGGGAGAGACGAGAAAAAGGAAAGAGAAGGAAGGAAGGTGTTCTCAGCTACGACGCAAGCGTCCAAGGACACACCAAAGGAAGAGCAGAGAAGGGTTCCCAGCTATGACAAAAGCATCCAGGGACACCCAAGGAGGAAGGAAGGTGGAGAGGAAAGAGAGAAAGAAAGAAAGAAAGAAAGAAAGAAAGAGAGAGGGAGAGAAAGGGAGAGGAGAAAAGGCAGGTATTCCCAGCTACGAACAATCGTCCAGGGACACACCAAAGAAAGAAAGGGGTGATCCTGAGTCTTCCATTCAGGAAAACACCAAAAAGCAAGGAAAGAAAGGGGAGGGAAGGGGAAGGAGGGGGGACTAAGCTCGCGACAGGTTCCAATGAACCTTGAACAAACTTCGGTCGCTGTGACCACGTACGGCTTGCCCGAAGGCTGCCACCTTTGACCGCTGCGGTCACGTAAAGGCATAAGCCAGCTTGGAATTCCAAAGATGAGACAAACATCCAAATTCTTGTGGCATGAGCCAGCTTCGCCCGCTGTGGGCACTTACGTTTCCAAGGCAAGGGAAACAACGACAAGCCCCCGTTCGACGGGTCCACGGGAGGCACTCTACGGGCTCATCCCGGGTTGGCACGAGGCCAAACACACTTATGGATATGCGTGCGGAACTGATAGCGGTGCCACACGCCGGCCTAGGGCTCCATTTCCTAAGAGAACCAGTAAGGACCATCGGAGCCTGGGGGTTTGTAAGAGGAAGTGAGGCCAAAAGCGCAAGGTCGAAGGCGATGAACAGGTCGAAATGACGACGATCGCTCATGTCTGCAGCAAGTGAGGTTCTAGGCTTAGCCTCATGCCATTCGGAAAAAGGAAAATTGCAGGTACGTCGGTGAGCGTCCCCACCGATATCAGTGTTCAATGCAAGCCTCTTCGTTGGGCTGGTACTTGCATGAACAACCAGCCCCCTGCTGAAAAAAAGAAAAACACAATCCGAAAGGATCCCTGTGACTACAAGGGGCACACACACACTTAGAAAAAAAGCACACAAATAAACACCAAACAGGCAAACAAACAAGCAAGCAAACCAATAAACCAAACCAAAGGAAACAAAACCAAACAACAAGCCAACCAACCAACCAACCAACCAACCAACCAACCAACCAACCAACCA